GGGGGTACAGAGCGCAGGGGCAGTACGATTAGCTGTGGCAGGAGCTGTCTCTGTTCAGCTGCCGCAGGTTAGTGGAGTGTCAGGAGGAGTAATAGCAAAGCTCGCAGGCAGAGGACAATAGTAGTAGGATGAGTTACAGTGCAGGGAATTTGTGTTTCTGATCATTCTCATTATTAGAAATGCTAAAAATTATCATTTAAAAAAAAAAATCCTGAGCACGTGGTTCCTGAAAATAATTCCTAATACATTTTAGCCTTACAAAGACGCACCTAATGCGATTAACACACTTGCTAAAATGCTTTGCCAAGGTTCTGTTGCCTTTTTTGTTTGTGTCTTTCTGACGGCTGTCACGGTTGTTAAGCCCGTTTGCAGGGAAGTGTTCGTGTGGAGAAGTGGCTGGAAACTGCTGACTCTCCCGGTGTGGGCCCAGGCCTGCCCGCGACCCCCGCTTCCCCCAGCACAATACTCCAGCAATTTTTTACTGAAAACTCCAAAAAGAAAATGAAAACATAATCATACGACTTTAGAGAAATAGCAGGACTGGTGCAAATAAATTAAATGTGTAACACCTTTGAATAAAAATACTACAGGTGTAAATGGTTCAGAAATACATAGTATATTGTAGTTTATAGGTTCTATAGTTACATGTAGTAGGCAGAAATAATGAGGAAACAGAGCTGTCAGTGCCAGTGTTGTGCAGGCGCTGTAGATAGGCACATTAATATTTACAATGAACCCTGGTGAGAACAGTACTGACTGGTAGTTCATAATCTTCCCAAGCAAGGCAACACCTGAAGCTGAGCGGAGCTGCTCCAGTACAGACAGACTGACTGCACGCCTGACAGACGACCATTGCAATAAAGGGCAGATTACAGCAGCCTGCCTAGTGCGAGAGGAAGGCGAAGCTACGCACTTCCATTTGTTAAATTCCAATGAACATGTCGCATTTCCTTGCTGATATACACTGGAGAGCGACAGACAGAGGGGTAGCTGACAGATTTCCTTTTGATTATTTGACTCAAAAGTCGACGTGTTAACAGCAGCAGGATCTACACGGATTCAGCCCCCACGATCACGCCGCTCCTACTAACAGCAATTGATTGAACTGACATGAATCGGTTCTTCATCACATGTGACAGAGCGCCTTAAAGAACGAAGGGAAAGCAATTATTATTTTTAAAAATAGTCCCCAAAGCATCCACAATTAACACAGCAACCCTCTTCCGTGCTTAAACAAGAGGCAGGAAGAGTGACAGATTCGTTTAAACAAAAACGCCTCTCTTCACACCTCGCAATTAAAAACCTCTCGGATCTGAGCAGCAACTTACTTTGAAGTCTGTCGGCGCTGGAGAAGCTGGAGCTGCTGTTCCGACCCCACGCGATCCTGTCACAAGCCCTCCCGAGTGACGACTGGGACACGCGTCGAGCAGGACCCACCTGGTCCAGCTTGGGCGTCCTGCGGTCGGCCAGGTGAGCAGAGAGTGGGGGACAGCGGCGGGCGGCGGGCGGCGGTATCCTGGTCTCTGGCAGCGCCAGAGAGTGCTACATCGCAGCTCTGACCAAGAGAGTCGAGCGCCCACAGCGAGAGAGAGATAGACACGATACATCCCTCTCTCTCCGTGCAACCGTGACACCCCCTTCTCCCTCTCCCTCCCTCCCGCCCGACAGCGAGTTAATCTCTGAGCTCCCACTTAAATTGCAGCCACTCGCTCAAATCCCTCTCCTGAGGAGGGCTCGACCGCCGCGCTCTCGCTTCTTCCTCCCCTCCCGGCTCTCCCTCGCTCGGTGCCGGTGTCGGTGTCGGTCCCGGGTTCGGGTCTGGTGGGAGGACCAGAGCTGTGCGGTGATTGACAGCTCCGGGATGAGTGTTTATCGCGTTTATCGATGTGGCGATGCGGAAGGTGAAGCGCGCGGTGCTGGTCTGCTGGCGCGCCCGTACGGTCCACTCAGTCCAGCGCGCTCGCACACATACAGTAGGTAATAATAATAATAAAGCCATCATAAGCTTCGGAAGACCACCGTTTAGTCAATATCTAAACTTGAATAAATGACAAGTAACAGACAGCCATGATGCGGAGTTCTCTTCCTACCTAACGACCAAGCTATTTGCTTATTACTGGTAGAAATAGGACCACGTATCACGATTTATTATCAAAGAATTCACACTGACTGCAGCGCCGCTGTGTCTATTATCTTAAGCGCGACACCTCGACGCAGATCCGCACGCACAGACCACAGACCACGGACCACCGCAGCGCCGCTGCTCACTCGCTCCCCGGCCGCCGTGTCCGACAGCCGGCCCATCCCTCACACCGGGCTGCGGAGCTGTTGTGAAACCCGGAGGTCACGCACTGTCATCGCGGGACCCTGACCTCAGAGAGACCGGACACATCTTCTCCTAGGATTAGGAACACAGGGGTCGAATGAATATTGAAAGTAAAGTTTGCTCCACAGGTGTGCAGATGTTTGGACCTCCTGCTGACATGCCTGAGCGATAAAGACCATGAAAGCCCTCTGTAAGATGAAAACACACTAAACTGGGCTCCTGAGCAATGTGAAGTCTGGGCACTGATTTGTACAGTAGGCCAGCTCTCTCTCCGGCAGTGTCTCCTCTTTCTGTCCCATGGGGATAAAGTAAGGCAAACCAGACACTGGGAATACCAACACGGGTGCAGGGGGGAATGCCACAGCTGGAAGAGGGAAAGATGCTTCACGTCAGGGATCCCAAGAGAGCTGTTGTTCCTACAGGTCTTCAGTCCAGGCTGTACTGTGGAGACCCATGTAAAGGGTGTGAGAGCTGTGCCCAGCTGTTCAGGCGATGCTGCTCTGAAAGCCTGTAACACACTGGCCCTCCAGGACACCCGGATCTCTGCTCTACTGCGGCCCCCCTGAGTGGGACCTGTCATGGCCACTGAAACACGCTGCTGCTCCTATCGTATCAGGCACCCATGAGTCTGGCAAAGCTCAGCCCCTCTGGTAACCCAAGGGCTCAGTCCCAGCTCCCTCTCTGTCCTGAGTGCTACAGCCCTGGAGTCTCAGACCTCACCTGCTCACAGCTCCACCCGAGCCCCTGCTGTCCCGTCTCCTCAGGTCCGTCCCTCCCTCCTCGTGGAGAGCTGTCCAGCAGTGAGCGTGCTGCCCTGAGCCCACCTGCTGTGCTGGAGCAAGCTGAGTGCTTTCAGACAAACACTGCATACGCAAGCGGGAGAGATTAGAAAATGCTCCAATCTATTCCGTATTAAAAGGTCCCTTTGTCATCCTTGATCTTAGCTGAATACAGTACACAAGCTGTGCAATACGTACAGCACAGAGAGTGAAGACAGCTCACATGTGATTATGATTCTGTGCGAATCCTCTGACTGGGTACGGACACACTCTTCGCTGGCAGAACACAACACAACACAGAACACAACAGGCAGGGAAATTCATTTTGATCTGTCAAACACAGAAGTGTGTGGATTCCTCTAGCTGACAGCTGGAAAGGGGTAAATAGAAGTGACCAGTTCTTAGTCTCAAAGACTTGTCACCTGGATACGAGTTAGTGGAACAGTCTCCTAGTGCTGAAAACAAAAGACGCTGTGGAGTCTGCGTCTGCCATCCATTAACTCAAACTCCTGGGTGTACTGCATCCACACTGAACTTCATAGAAATTATTTATTTCTCTAACACATTGCACTTGCTCTGAAAAAGTAATGACTAATGTTTCTATTTTGTCCAAGAGCTTATGCAGCTAAATTCTGCTCCTGATTGGAGCAGCTGTTCAGATGATGTATGAGTGAAGAGAACAGAGGTTGCCATGATACAGGAATCTCATCTGAAACAACAAGACGTTGGTAGACTTGCCCATACGAATTGCTGTGTGGCTGTTTCCTGCTCTGCTAAGGACAAGACTAAGTGACTCATGAATACATGACAAAGAAAACGTCAGATTTTGATATTGAAGTCAAGGAGAGTAGAAAAGGGGAAACCAGCGTATTTGAGAACTAATATTTTGGGTAAAAAAGTTTTGGCTCAGTTTATGTCCCCAAGAGCTGGAGCAGATTTTGAACCTCCTGACCTGCATGAAACTTGCTGGAACTCACCAGCTGTGATGTCATTTGGATGACTCCTTTTGATTATTTGACTCAAAAGCCAACGTGTTAACATCAGCAGGATCTACACGGATTCAACCCCCACGATCACACCGCTCCTACTAACAGCAATTCATTGAACGGACATGAATCGGTTCTTCATCACATGTATCCTGTCTGTCCTCTGTCACGTCTGTCCTCTATCACAGCTGTCTGTCCTCTGTCACATCTGTCCTCTACCACAGCTGCCTGTCCTCTGACACTTCTCCCATGCAGCTTGTCTCTGTCCAGAGTGAGCTCCTGGTGCTCTTCAGACAAGCTGAGAGCTGAGCTCTGGTGGCGCGATGGCACCACAGTGCCCCCAGGCCTGAGCCAGCCCTGGCACAGCTCCGCGCCACTGTGCTCCGGCTGCACTGCTCAGCACAGGGGAGAGTTTCAGGATCGAAACAGCCAGGCGGGAGAGAGATAGGTGCTGATTAGGAACGCTGAGAGAGCGCGACAAGAACAGAGGGGTGTCGAGCAAGATGACACTGGAGTGATATAGAAAGATTAGAGTTAGAGAAACGTTGGTGGAGTGTTTTCATGTTTCAGAGACAGAAAGTAATAAGAAAAGAAAGTGAGAAGTGTGGAGCTTGTTTGATTCTTGGGGAGTTATTGACTACATCAGAAAAGAGCCAGGGGTTAGAGGTTAGGATTTAGAGGTCAGAGGTTAGGGTTCAGAGCTTAGGGGTCTCCTGCTCACAGCCAGGATCACCACCCAATGATCCACTGCACTGGTCCAACAGCTGCGTCTACATTCCACGTTCTCAGTGTGCAGTGAAACAGTGTCCCTGTGTTTCTGGGGCGTGTGGACTGCAGTTTGAGAGGAATGAAATGTGCCCTCAAGTTCCAGCCTGAGAAAGCCCAGCCGCAGAGCCAGAGGTGTGCTCTTCCCAGGTGTGCACCTCTTGTACATGTCACAGCGAAGAAGACAGAGATTTCTTTAAAGTCAGGTTTTGCTAGTGAACAAAGCAACCTTGTTAAGGGAGGTCATTCCCAGGTCTTTGGAATTAAACCATGAATGCCTGCAGTCTTCAGAGACCACGCTCCTCCACAGTGAGCTCAGCAAGGTGATCCACAGCTGCGCCACGCTGGTCTGTCTGGACTGGACGCCACATCAGTGCAGTGTTGTGGTCAGAGGTCATCTTCTGTGAGTGGAGCGGTCAGTCTGGAGATTGGAAGGGGCAGACAGGGGAGACACCCGTTTGTGAGAGGTCACTCCTGGCCAGCTGTCAGGCAGGAGACCGCTGAGAGTTCATCCAGAGAGCTTTCTTAAAACCTCACTTCCAACACCTCCCTTTGCTACCCCCCTGAGCTTGTGTCACACGCTCACCCTGAACATGGCTGGGGTGGACAGTGGGGCTCCAGGCAGAACTGGAGGTGCCTGATTCGAGCAACACACTGTTGCGGTCACTCTTTATTCCAGCTCTGACTCCAGGCAAACTGTCCACAATTACGTTTCAAATTTACTCCGGTTAAAACAAAAAAAAGCAGCACTCATTATTATCCAAAAGACCCTCCTAGAAAAATGAATAAACTCAGCGGCAGGAAATGTATGGTCATTCCTGGCTAGAGTGTGTCTGATGGATGTCCCAGTCCTCCTGAACGCAAGAGTTCATCCTGCTGGCAGCGACGCTGGACCTGCCTCTCCCCTGCTGGAGGGATCTGATGGGTCTGGGATGCAATGTGGGGGCACACCCGTGTCACACCCTGCTCGGGCAGTTCTTGCTGCTTGAAGAGGTTCCTAATATTTTGGACAAAGACGCACATTCAGCCGCCTGTCTGTTCAGACTAATTGCTGCCGGTCTAGGGAGAGCTCCCGCTCCGCCTCTCGGGCTGAGCACGCTTTGTGAGCAGGAGATCTGACACAGTAGATCACGGAGGAGCAGACGGAGAGATCCGTCAGTGCTGAGGCAGAGCCGCTTTTACTCTCATTGAGCCTGCTCTGCGCAGACGTGTGCTCTGATAATGTTAATGATTCTTTATTAGCCCTATACAATTTCTTGCATTAGGAATTCGTCTTTTCACATACCCCAGCTTTTCTCCATGGAGACACAGACACACAGACAGGGAGAGAAGCTGGGGGTCAGAGCACAGGGTCTGCCATTATACGCCACCCCTGGAGCAGTTGGGGTTAAGGGCCTTGCTCAGGGGCCCAATGGAGTAGGATTCCTCTGCCGGCCACGGGATACGAACCGGCAACCTTCCAGCCCCAGCCGCAGATCCTGAGCCCCAGAGCCACCGCTCCTCCCTGCTCGCGTGGCCGGTAGAGGTGCTGCTGCCTGGGCCTCCTCAGGCGGTGCAGAGAGCCCAGCTGTGCAGGTGCCGGGAGCGGGCAGCAGCCCGGCCCGAGAGCTCCAGCGGGGGACAGGGACACGGCTGGCCTTGGCCCCGCGGTGTGTGCGCCGTCCCTGCCTGTGTGCCGCGCGGCCCTGGGCTATTGTGGCTCCGCGCCTCCGCGCTGCCAGCCTTCTGAATGGCGCCAGCGCTGAGAGCAGCTCCGCTCTTCTAAAGGAGCAAGAACAGCTGGACCTTGAAGCTCAATACAGCCGCAGCACCAGCGACAGGGGGAAGGCATCACACACACACTCACACACACAC